CTGCCGTTGGGCAACGGCCATAAGGGCAGAAGACCGTTGCCAACGGTCAGAAATAAGGCCCACCATTAAAAAGAAAAAAAAATTAGTTACCGTTATACCGGTCTGGGCCGGTTAACCGATTGAACAGTAAAAACACTTAACCGGGTTTGACCGATCCGGTTAACCAGTAGGAATTAAGTAGACGGACCAACCCAGCCTACCCCTTTAACCCAGCCCCACCTGGCCCCCTTGTACCGGGCCGGGCCGGTTCCGGAAATGGGCTAATCCGACCCGTTAGACACCCATACTCTACCCTCCCCGGTTGTTGTTAGTCTCAAACCCGGTTCATTCCTCTTCTATTAGATCATATAATATTACTGGTTAATTGTATTAACATTTTTCTTCAAATGAGAACTGAGGTTCTCCCAACAATTGTTGATTTTTGACGTCTTGAGATAATGGAACTTGAATTTTGACCTTAACTGATCCACAATCTTGTAACAACATTAGGCTTTTGGCTTTCACTATGCTTAATGACATGTTACCCAAGGAATTAAGCCTAGGAAACAACTGAGAATTTATGCTTCAGATGCCAATTAATCTTTCATCAAAAAGACGCAGAAGCCTCAGCTAGACGCACTTTGATTACTAAAGAACAATTTCGTTGTATAATCACCCAAACTAGATATTTCAGAGAACCTGATATTAAGCAAATTCATTGTCACCTTAACTCAAATACGCGATCCAAGCTTTACCATGGGACTTTCAACTTCAAAACAGAATACGCAATACTAGCAAGTCTATTTCGAGTTCGAGACCAATTGTCAAAGCCATGCTAGTTGATAGCGTCTAGTTCGAGACCAACATATGAAATGCAAACAAAGACAAGAAAATTTGATGTTCCAGCTACTTAAAGCATACTTCTATAGCACCACTTGCAATGCGACCGTCCCTCCAAATATGACTCCAAGGTCAGAGGCAGATAGCGAGCAAACTAGGAGCGAGATCTTTCTCTAGCTGGAGGTGAATCGCTGCATTGGAAACAAATAAAGATGATTTACAAAGCTTATTAGCAAGAAAGTAATTGAGGAACTGTACCACAGAGCACAGATATGCAGAACCAAGAGCTAAAAAAGAGTAAAGATCAAACCTCCTGTGTCTTTCTGGAAGAGGACTTTCTGCTGCAGCATATCCAGGACTATCAATTTCTTCAGGTTTAGACCTTGGGCTGCGGCCGCGATAACCATCTGGGCTCTGTTTCTCTCTCCTCCCCCTTGGAGGACTAGGGCTGGCTCTACGATCATCCAACATTCCTTCCTCCGGTGGACTGCTCACATGGCCATTTTCAGAACCAGCTCTCAGCCTTCTAGGGTTTGGGCTATGACCATTTCCTTGATCAGGGTTCCTCTCCTTTCTCATGCTTGGACTATGGCCACGGCCATACTCAGAATTCCTTTCCCTATGATTGGGATTTGGACTAGCGCCGCGACCATAATCAGGACTTGACCTACCATGACGGAGTGGACTTGGGCTACGGGCCCGACCACGACCGTAATCAGGACTTCCCCTCTCTCTTCCATAAGGACTCCGAGATCGATCTCGGTCATAACCTCTCCTGAGACCACCCCTATCACGGTTTCTATCAGGACTAAACCCAGTTCTCCTGTCATCATCATCTTTATTTGCATATTCAACTGTAATGACTTGATCCATCAGTTTACTGCATCAGAAAGCAAAACATGAACAACAAAGGCTGGTCAACTATGGCAGTGGAAAATATGGAAAACTAGGAAAACGTTTGATAAGTAATCACATTATAACAACTCTTATTAAGAAGATACCTCATGTGTGTAGCATCCAAGGCTCTAGAAGCATCCTCCTGCGTTTCATATT